CCTTTTTCAAATTCTTGAATCCAAAATCGTGGGGTAGCTTTTATTCGGGGGTAGCTTTTATTTGGTAACATACGGTAAATAATAATAATAATATAAAATTTTAATTCCCAATGACCCCATGATATATGAATAAGAGCCTACATATAATGTAATCTGATTATAAATATACTTACCAGTCTGTTCTCCAAGCTTATTCAAGGTATTTTGTGCTGACACTTCTGCATCATTAACCATCTGCAGCGACCGTTGAGTAGAGGCTAAGGAGCCCAGTTTAGTATCTCGAATTTGAGATTTAATCTCTTCAACGTTTTTCGTTTCTTGTTGCTGTTGCCCATAAGGATCATTGTTTCCACCATATCCATATCCATATCCACCAGGCGGCGGATATTGTCCGCCAGGTGGTAGAGATTGATATCCACCAGGCGGCGGATATTGCCCACCCTGTTGGCTATACTCTCCACCGTATTGTTTAGTAGCGCCAAAGAAGAGTTCCTCTTTTGCAGCAGGATTATCTTGACGTTGGCGATAACGATAGTCTTCCATTTAGTTAGAAGTATTAAAAGGTTATAACAAACGATAAGAAAAATGCAATCTCTTTATATAACTTTATTAGGGATCCAAACTTGTTTGAAAGTCTCTAATAGTGACTCGTCAGATCAAGCATCCTTTCCAACAAGGTACCCGAAACTAAAACCGAATAGCAGATTAAAACAGGTCACCCCGTTTATAATCAGATGCCCGATTACTTGTGATCAGTATGAAATTCAAAGTTTTATGTTCTTAACAAGATCATATACATTAAAATTTTATGTTAAATTTCACACACTGCTTGATCTGAATGATCCATTTGTCATATCATATTTAAACCAGTTTGTCAGAATTACGTTTTTACGTCTCGGGTTCTGGGTTGGATCCAAGGTTGGCAAATAGGGGTGGGCATTTGCGTAAGTTTTCAAAATTTTAATGCAAAATCATATAAGTTAAAATGTAACTTCAAAATTTGCCTAACCCTATTGGCAAATGATGAATGACATAAGATTTTTGTCATTTATATTAAGCCAAATAACAAATAATTAAAAATGACATCAAATGACATCAAATGGTATCAAATGACATCAAAGGCTCAGATTAGCGAGTTCGTTTCTTTTGCCGATGTTTCTATGTTCAGGGATCATAAGTTTGTAAAGTAAAAGTCACGTGAGACTTATAAATTACTATACCGGTTTCAGGGACACGGAAATATTCTTTCGATTTAAACCAAAAATTTCGATCGATTTAA